GGGGGGCACGGGCCGCCTCGGGGCCGCGCAGGGGGGGAGGAGGAGGAGGTGGTGGGATCGTGGAGGTGGCTTTGCCTGCTCCTCTCTTTAGGGCGAGTCCTGCGCAGGCCTGTAGGTGCGCGTTTTCTGCTGCTGAAATTCCACTTTAAAGCATTTTTAAGGGCTGCTCGGCCTGTAGAAAGAGAAGGCTCCGGGGAGGCCTTGTAAGCGGCCTTCAGGTACCTGAAGGGGCTGCGGGGAGGCTGGGGAGGGACGTTTTACGGGGGCGTGAAGCATCAGGGCAACGGGGAATGGCTTTAAACTGGAACAGGGGAGATTTAGGTTAGATGTTAGGAAGAAGTTCTTTAGTGTGAGGGTGGTGGGGCACTGGCACAGGCTGCCCAGGGAAACTGTGGCTGCCCCATCCCTGGAAGTGTTCAAGGCCAGGCTGGATGGGGCTCTGAGCAACCTGGTCTGGTGGGAGGTGTCCCTGCCCATGCATGGGGGTTGGAACTGGACAACCTTTAAGGTCCCTTCTGACCCAAAACATTCTGTAGTTCTGGTTTTTTAGTCTTGACAGTTTTCCAGCATGATTGTGCACCAGCAGATGCACATCACTGCTATGTGAACAACAGGGTAAATGCTAGTGGCGAATACGTCAAGCCTGACAGAAGTAAAATATTACAGTTACTTTGCCAACAGATTACAATGTTTGTGTTGGTTTTTTGGGGGGTTTTTTTGTGGTTTTTTTTTTTAGCATGTACAGTCCCAGGTTTTAAACTTTGTCTGTATCTGTAGCACTTTGGGAGCCCACTTCACAGGGGAGGTGATTCCTCGAGCTAGGAATAACCACAAATAACCACAAAATAATAACACGATACTAAAGAGTTGACCCTCTTCACAGTTAAACAGATGGTTGTTCTAGTGCCAGTGGTTTTATTCTGTTGTTTTTTGTTTGCAGCGATGACAGTCTCTTCGTGTATGATTGCATCAATGCAGAGAAGAAGACCTTAGGGAATAAAGGGTGAGAAAAACTACTTGGGCAATCTGCTGTTTTCTTAGAGGGTTCATCTTCCTCCTTCAGGTCTGTTCTCTAAGTCGTGAGACTTAAAAACTTGAAAGTATTTTCTTAGTTTAAATTCAACCACTGGCCAGTGTTTTACCTGAGGCAAATGTTACTCTTTCATCCTAAATTTTTATCAAGATCTGCTAGCACAAACCCTAGCTTTTTCTTTTTTTCTTTTTTTTTTTTTTCCCCCAAGCAGATGATGACACATTTTTAGGCCTTATGTTGGTGTGCTTTTTCCTGCCTTTTTTCTTTACATAAATGTTTTAAGCACAAATAAAACTTTCAGCATTGTATTCTGTTCTTCATGTTCCTTTTTGGTGGCATGAGAGCAGCTTTCTCTTACGGATTTCAGTAGCTCTCAGGTTGTGAACTGCTGGTCGCTTCTCTCTACTAGGCAGGATGGAAAAGCGACAGATAAAGGAAGTGATGACATCCTAGCTTTTGCCTTCTCCCCATCAGGAGATTATTTTGCCCTGACAGATGACAGCAAACGTCTGATTCTGTTCCGTACGAAGCCTTCCTGGGAATGTGTTAGTGTCAGGTAAGGAAGCAGGATGGTGCATGTCACTTTGTTACAGAGTTATGGCTGATTTACAGTTAGAAAATAATAGTACTGGGAATGTTGCCATTTTTTATCATAAGCATCCTCTTTTTTTCTTTTTTTTTTTCTGCTTGTTCTTGCTCAAACAAATTTAAAGTTCTTGGGAATTCAGATACTTGTCAAGAAGAGGTGCATGTTATGTCCCACACAGAGAATGAGAGGGTAGATTATTATATCATTGGCTAAAGAAAGGATAAACCCTTTTCTTATTCCTGAAGACGGTATTTGCATCTTTAAGAACTGAGAGTTTACCCAGTCCTAGTGAGCACTAAGGTTGGGCCTGTAAGAATGATACCAAACAGTTTATTGAGTGCACTGTCTGTTTCTGTTGATTTGGGGGAAAAGATGTTTTGGGGAGTTCCAGAACTCTCTTAAAAGCTAATCTTTATAGATACTGCCAACTGCTTGTCTTCTGTAGTACGGTCCTCTTGAGAAAACAGTCTGTAGCTGTCCACCAGAGGTCCTCCAGTTACAAGTTTTCTGCTGCAGCTTGTGACAATTGTCCGTAAAAAAATAAAAAGACTTCTGAGAAAGTACCTCAGCATGTGACATCTCTGCTTCTGGTGGTCTCTGACAAACGTGAGGCCTTGATTGCAAAACCAAATGGAATGTCTATCAACTTGGCTGTGTTTGTAGGGTTTATGGTGAACCTCTCGTGGGTTAACCCATGTTGTAGTGAGTAGGTGGTCAGTGACAAAAACAGAAACAGCAAATTGTCTTAATTCTGCATTCTGTCTTCCCTGCTGCCCTGCCCTGTATATCTTGCCTGTAACAGGCCTTTGGATAGTTGATGTTTCAGTTTTCTGCTGAAAGCTTAACTAGGGCCACAGCTGGATTTTTTGAGAACATCACTATCTCCTATTAGGAAATTGGGAATGCAGACAAAAGAATCTCTGCATGAAGAAAACAGTGCTGTAGTTGAGCTATGTAACTTATGTTGGTGTTTTGTAGGAAGCTGTATAAAAGGTTTCATGTGGTGCTAGCTTTTGTAGACAGCTCATTTTAGATAAGGGGAACTTTCAAATCTTTGTGCTTAAGATCAAAGGTAGTACCAAGAATTTGGAGCAAGACTTTTTTTTGTTGTTGGCTAGGAAATCCATTTTGAAACTGTGCTGTCTGAGCCTGCAGCGTGTTAGTAGGCATTCTTGTACTATACATTTTCCCTTTGTTATGGTGTTCTTTTAAAGGGGTGTTGAAAGCATTGGAATTCCTGTCTTCCTATGTGAAGTACAGTATATTGTTCTTTTGCCTCTAGACAGCCACTGAATTTCAGAGTAGGGGAACCAACATAGCCATTCCCTGTGATTCCCAATGTCCATGGTCCACAGGACATAGAAGGGTTGGGAAAAGAGATGTTATGAAAAGGAAAGAATAACGGTAAGAATAATAACTGTTAAGTTGCAGAAGTGTTTTCCAGACTAAGTAATTAAAATTTTCGAAAAACTTGTTTTCTCAAATCCATGGCCCTTACATTTACCTGAAAAGTTGTAAGAAAACCATTACCTGCTACAGTGGCAACTGGAACTATGAGATACTGGCTGCTCATGAGGGAAAGCCAGAGTCCAAGTTCAGGACTTTGCCTGGATAAGGTACTGTGAGACTGTGGCTCTCTGACTCTGGATGTGAGGAGGAAGAGTCCTTGAGGCTCACAAGGAAGGGCTCCCTTTTACAGTACAAAGTGACAACTGGAGAAGTAGTTTCAGCACAGTTTTTAGACGTGTTGCTGCAGAGGTCTTTTACTAGGAGAAGTCCTACCTTGTCTTCTCTTTCCTGTGTATTTAACTTGTATTTGTATTATGGAGAGTGCAAGGAACTCTGCCAGCTTTCTTTAGGATACTGACAGGCTGACAAGGCAAAATGCTCAGTTGGGAAAGTACTTAAGCAGAATACAAGCATACAGCTTTAATGGTCTCTTTGTATTTTTCCTCCCACCCCCCAAGGTGTTTGCTGTTACATAGTTTAGTCATTTAATAGGTCTAAAAAAGTGCTATTTTGGACCCGTGCCCTTGCTTAACATTAGTCTCATTGCTGCCATTTCAAGAGTGTGGTGTCTGAGAGGTTTTTGTCTGTTATCTTTGTCTGTTTCATTCAGTCTGAATCCATACTTGCTAAAGCTGCCATCCATAGGTGTTCACTGTGACCTTTTTCTTTCAGGTTTCTGAACAGGAGGTGCACTTCCCTGACTATTACAGCTGCAGAGGATAAGATTCTGATTGCAGACAAGTCTGGTGATGTCTATTCTTACTCAATAACAGAACCCCAAGCAGAGGGAAAACTTCAGCTGGGTCACTTGTCTGTGCTACTGGATGTGGTATGTGCCTCCATGAAGTCATTGTACAAACCTGCGTTCCTGCTTGTGTTTGTGTCTTTCATTGTTGCTTTTGTCCCAGATGTGGGAGTTCTTTTTTTAAATAAATTAAGTATGTAGTCTGGATTTCTTCCTACCGAGTTTGTGTTTGCAGGATTCATAAAGAAACAAACTTACCCAAAGGTTATTTGTTCAGGGAGTGTGAGTGTTCAAAAGGTCTTCATGTGACAGTCACAGAAGGCTTGGTGATGGAACAAGTCTGGGAATTTACTCAGCCTATCATGTCAGTTGAGTTCTTCAATGTGTTAAGCTTTTTTCTGTGTAAGACACAGTGGGACTTATGCCTGTACTGTTGGAGCGCAGTGGCTTTAACTAGATATGGTAGTTAGTGTTGCTTGTTGGAGTGATTGAGGAAGTTACTGTTGCAAGGATTCAAAGATTCATCCTTCCATTGTTGGTGGAAAAGTGTGGCTTAATATTTGCACCTGCCATTCAGAGTCAGGAGAAAGAGATAATCTACTGTTTGTTTGTTTTTTCCCTCTTGGTTAAGAAGAATTATATTAAACCAAGCATTGACCTCCTGGGCATTAAAACTTCCTTTACCAACAGGCACTGAGTCCCGATGACCGGTATATCCTTACTGCAGACAGAGATGAGAAGATCAGAGTCAGCTTAACAAAGGCTCCTTATAACATTGTATCCTTCTGTCTAGGACACAAAGAGTAAGTTTGTTGTGTGCAGAAGTTATTATGTGCAGCTCTTCAGTGTACCTCAGTTCATTAAATTGTCTTTTAAATAATATTAAACAACAGCTAGGTCTGTGTAAGGGTCATAGATAGGTTTGGGGTTGGAAGGGAACTTCAGAGATTTATCTAGTCCAACACCTCTGCAGTGAGGAGGGATGTCTTCAACGAGATCAGGTTGTTCAGAGCCTCACACAGACAGACACTGAATGTTTCCAGTGATGGGGCATCTACCAGCTCTCTGGGCAACCTATTCAGTGTTTCACCATCCTCATCCTAAATACTTTCTTTGCTATATCTAGTCTAAATCTCACCTTGTTTAGTTTAAACACATTATCTCTTGTCCTATCACCACAGGCCCTGCTAAGAGTCTGTCCCTATCTTTCTTGTAAGTTCCTTTCAGGTACTCAAAGTCCCCAGCAAGGTATTCCCAGAGCCTTCCCTTCTTCAGGCTGAACAACCCCAACTCTCTTGACCTTTCCTCATAAAAGAGGTGCTCCATCCCTCAGGTCATTTTTGTGGTCCTCCTCTGGACCCACTCTGACAGGTCCATGTCCTTGTACTGAGGACTCCAAAGCTGGATGCAGGCCTCCAGGTGGGGTCTCACCAGAGCAGAATACAGGGGCTGAGCTACCTCACTTGACCTGCATGCCGCAAGAGGCTCCAGAACTTGGAAACTGGTAGTTCCTTTCCCCTCCATCCTGAAGTGAAGGTCTTTCTAATTACAGTGATCTAAAAAGTGGAAGGCAGCAGAGCAACCTGCTAGCTCTACTGGTGTGATTCTAGGGGATTTGGAACTAGGTGATCTTTAAGGTCTCTTCCAACCCCAGCTGATCTGTGATTCCGTGATTCAGATGTGCTCTGACTTGCTAGGAATCCAATAGTTCTTTTAGTATAGAAATAGGGATTGTCTTCAAGCCATTATCAGGACCTCCTCTTGGAGCCTATAGGAGCAATTGTACTTTTCCTTTTCTTCTCAGTAGTCCTTTTCCTATGAAGAAGCCTCAAATGGCATACAGACTTCTGAAAGAGTTTTTTTTCTCTATACTTTGCTGCTTAAAATGTCTATCAGTTGTAGTCTCTTGACTTTGCCTTCCCCCTCTATATGATTTTGTGAGCTTTTGGAGTGTTTTTTTGTTGCTGTCAGTTGACAGTGTTTCTGAGTAGGGTAGGGGAATTGTGCAAGTTTCTTTTCTGTGTGTGGCCGCTGCTACATTTTCAAGTCCACAGTGACAAAGTAGCACAGAAGACCCGGCCTTGCCCAGGGTGGAGAAAGCATCTAATTCTACTTCTCTGTTTGCTGAGGTGCCTGGGGGTAACAGCACCCTTCCAGACACATTCTTCTGTAAGGTGATGTGATGTGGTGCAGTCAAATCACTATATCAGAAAGAAGAGTTAAAGAAAGATCATGTGACTGGGGAACTTGGGATATGGGTAGCAACTATCTAAACTTACCCACCAAGGTGTTTTAGTAGGGTGTTTAAAACACAGATTAATTCAGAGCATCAGTCTGTTTTTAGTAACATCATTTGGTAGTCCAACCTGTGCAGAATTGGCACAGTATAAAAGCAAGAGACTACTCATATTAAAGATCTAAGTAGTCTTTGATCAGGTCAGTTTCTGTAACATATTTACAGAGGCATGTCTGATGTTTCCACCAACTGTGTTGTACTTTCTCATGAATGGAACTTCATGTTCAGAAGACACGTTTAAATGGGGCTGTTGTGTCTGCACAAAGAGTTCATTAGTGGCTGCAGAGTGGAAAGGCATGTAGTGTAATTTTTTTGAAAAATATATAATGTTAAATATTTAAATTATGAATAAACAAAGAAATATAAGTATCAAAAGAAACATGACCAGCAGGTCGAGGGAAGTGGCTCGCTCCCTCTACTCTACTCTTGTGAGACCCCACCTGGAGTACTATGTCCAGTTCTGGAGCCCCCAGCACAAGAAGGACATGGAGCTGTTTTGAGTCCAGAGGGTGGCCACAAGATGAGAGGGCTCGGAGCCCCTCTCCTATGAAGACAGGCTGAGAGAGTTGGAGTTGTTCAGCCTGGAGGAGACTCCAGGGACCTTTCAATACCTGAAGGGGCTACAGGAACTCTGGGGAAGGACTTTTTACAAGAGATGTACTGATAGGACAAAGGGCAACCATTTCAAACTGAAGGAAGGTAGATTTCTATAAGATATTAGGAAGAGAGTGTAAGGGTGGTGAGACACTGGCACAGGTTGTCCAGGGAAGTTGCCCCATCTCTGGAAGTGTTCAAGGGCAGGTTGGATCAGGCTTGGAGCAACCTGGTCGTATCGGAGTTCTCCCTGCCCGTGCAAGGTGTTTGGAACTATATGATCTTCTAGGTCCGTTCCAACCTAAACCATTTTCTGATTTATAGAAGGATTACATAAAACAGCTATAATTGTCATATTTATTGCTCCTGGATTTTCTTCTTTCAGTGGGGTGCATGGTGATCCTTTCTGAGTCTATTTGGTGTGCATGCACCTGCCATTGGTGCTTTGTCATGGAAATTTGTATCACAGTGACCAAATATTTTCCTTCTTTTTTTTTTTTCTCTTCCTTTTTTCAATGGCCTTAAAATTATGCTAGTTTTCAAAAGTTAAGACTGTCCCACTCAGGTAATGTGCTGCTCAGGTCACTACATTCTAAGTTGCTGAGCTCTAAGATAATGAGCTCCAGAAGTTCAGGTCCACATTACTCAGCAAAAAGAAGTCATGGTAGACACAGCAGTATTATGTACTTCTGAAAAGCAAGGTTTCTGGCTGAATATAGATGCTGGTGGTAAATTGCCACACACTTGTTTTAAAATTTTGTAAATACTGCTTTTGAATCATCCCCAACTGTGATGGGAGAGATGTGGTACTCTGAAAGCTGATTTATCACCATCGTTGTTTTAAAAGCACCTGTTGATTCATGCTTTTAATTGCATTATGAGTTGAACATGGGGAACGTGCCACCTGAATAAGTCTGTCTCTGTTGGCATTTTTTAGTGTATGGTAATGTCTTCAGTCAGGAGGAAGTCAGTAAAATTCCTTGAGTGTATATGGGGAAATATTTTTTTCTATTAAGTAGAAAGCCAGTAGTTTGTGCAGTATATATACTATGTTAAATATTGTAGACATATTTTTTTCTTCCTCCTGATCAGCTTGATGTGAGAATCTCTTTGTTTGTTTATTATAAGGTTCTCTTTAAAATGTATGTTTTCTCCTACTGTGTGTGTTTAAAGACTAGTGTGTCATGCCAGACAGTTCAACTTTTGACTACTTTCCAGGTTTGTGAGCAGAATACTTGTAATACCAGACCATCCTGATCTGCTGTTGTCAGCTTCTGGGGTATGTATTGCCATTTCTTCAAATAAACATTTTTCTTGAAAATTTAGACTTTAAAACCATGATTTGCTTGTGTTTCCCTGAAGTTCCTTGGGATACTTGGATGGATCTGTCATTGTTTCCATCATGCCCTCTCTTCCCAGCCTTGTCAGTTTGCTGTTCAGTGTTCAGCCATTCTATTGCTTGATCATGTAAGAGCCTGTTTACAATGCCCGTAGCAAGGCCAGCTTAAGATTGTTGGAATGGAGAAATCACCGAGTCCTCAGTGTTTCTTCATCATTAACTTATGGTTTGTAGCACAGACAAACTTTAATCACAGACTATTAAAAAACGTCAAAGCAAATGTGTATTATGTCAGCCTGCCATAATAAAGAGTATCCTGGAATGAACGACCTTAGAATCACAGATTTTTTTTTTAGAACTTTTAACATGACAGAATCGTTCCCCTTACACACTCCCACTTGCTTTCCCCTATGAGATCTGTTCTGAATTATGTCCTCATTTGCATGTATTCATAGTATGTACAGTGGATGTTGTGTAGAGGTTGCAGTGCAGTTCTACACAATGCTTGGATGAGGACTGAAGGAGTGAGTGTTCCCTCCTTTCCTTCCTCACTGGCCCTTTTCTTAAATTGATGACATCCTGGTGTCATGCCAGACCTGTACAGAGTTAGTAGGCAGAGTTGGCCTAAAAGAAGGAAAACAATATTCTTTGTTTCCAAGACTACCAGAACTACATAGGAAGCAAATAAAGTTTTCAGTGAAGATTGTAGTAATTCTTAGCATTTGATTTCAGCTGCTCTGGTTCTGCCAAGGTTCTTGTCTCTTACTCCTCTAATTGTTTAAGCAACTTTAGTGTTATTGCAGTGAGTAGCTGTATATCATTCTTAGCAATGCTCTTTGGTGATTGTTTTTCCAAAGAGGTGTTTAGTTTCTCTCCAGGAAGTTTCTGAATCAAATGAGAATTTAGGTGAGAGCAAGAGTAGAGGTGGAGAAGGGCAACGTGAAAGAATCACCATTAGAATGCTAAGCACATGTATTGCTGTTCTATTTGAGGCCGACGCCAGCCACAGAATTCCCACTTCAAAAGGAAAATTAAAGTTAACATGATTGGATAATTTAGAATGAAGGGGAAAAATTATGTTAATTAAAATGCTTTCTCTGCAATTTGAGGTCTTAACTAAGTGACTATTTAGTGGCTTCTGTGGGAAGCTCTTAAGGGAAATAGGATTTAGCTAAAGGCCATGAGTGGCTTTTCTTCGCCTGAGATGTTGTTACTAATAGACTTGTGTCTGCTTCCATCTGTCCAGGACTCAACTCTGAGACTCTGGGAATACAGAAGTGGGGAAGAAGTATGCTGCTGTAATCTAAGCAGCATCTGTGGGCCTGAGATGACCAAAACTGACCAGGTATATCCATGTGCTTTTGCTACTCTCCTGATCCCTTGTGACTCCCAGATGTGTTTGTTGCATTATGTTAGGAGTGCCTCCCTTCTCTGGGTGAATTATGTGAGATTTAGAAACTGTTAGAAAAGCCTTGGATTTGGGGAAGGAAAGGTCCCTGAAATCATTCCTGTGTCGTGTGTGCATTTCTAAAAAGTGTCAAGCAGCAATCAAAATAAGCTGTTTGTAATTATTCTCAAGTTAAGGTCTGCATGCTGGACAGAGCCTTTGCTTGAAAAATTTTTCAAGAACACAGGTGCCTTAGCGTCTTAGCCAGAAAATAACTTGTAACACTGGAAAGATCTAAAAATCACCCTTTAAAAAAATACTTATGTTACAACTGTAAGACTTGAAATTGTCTGAGCAAATAGCAGAGATCTGTTCTGAATTATGTCCTCATTTGCATGTATTCATAGTATGTACAGTGGATGTTGTGTAGAGATTGCAGTGCAATGCTACACAATGCTTGGATGAGTAGCATCCAACCTACTGGATGAACTCACTTGAAGGAGTGAGTGTTCTCTCCTTTCCCTCCTCACTGGCTGAAATTGAATTGAAAAGTTCTATCTTTTGTCCTATGTGTTTTGTTGTGGTTTTGGTTAGTCAAATCTGTTGTGTTCAACCTCTCCCAGCAGTCAGGAACCATTCCTGGGGATTTCTCAGGGATGCTGATCTTGTTAGTGTGATTCCCAATTCCCAAACTAGCAGGGAAAGGACCAAGCTCCTAGGGACAGACCTGACAACTCAAGTTTTTTTTCTGTGCAGAAGACATCAGCAAGTTGTTCTTTGTGTTGGAGTAATAACGTGCAACTCTGTCTGTACATAAACCCAGGAAGGCAGCCACTTGCATCCCAACGTTCAAAGTTTAGATCCTCGAAATCTTGGTTTTGGCCTGGAGTTCCTGTTAGCACGAATTCAGGGTAGTATCTGTACGGACAATGTAATCTGCCTCTGAACTTGAAAATATACTTTAAGGCACACCTGAGCCAGAGACCTCTTGTGTGCTTTCACAAGGTCTCTGGCTCATTCCAACTTGACTCTAGTGCTTGAAGTCTTTGAAGTAGCTATCGCTGGCTTTTTTTCACAAGCAAAAGCCTGGTATACCAAAGTAGGTGACAAGCCCGTCTAGCTGGTATCCTCTTATAGTCTGCGTGCAGAAGGATTTGAGTGAAGAAGGGAGAATTAAGTTTGAGGCAAACCTACAGAATTACTTTGCACATGTAGCCTTCTGGAAATAAGTGGCTTGGGAAGTTTCAAAGCCAAAGTGTTCTATGTTTATGTTTGAAAGTAGCTAATGAGAGTGCTTTGTTGAAGCAGCATGGTTTGATAGCCATCAAATCCATGTCTGCAGTAATGTTGCAAAGCATTTCTTATGTGGAGAAGAATGGTTTTATTTTAAAATACTTTGCCTTCTAGCTTTAGTGGAGCGTTAAAGACTAGTAAGCAACTAGCTCCAGAAAATCCTACTGTTAATTTTAAAAATATTGCTTGTTGCTTAGGCTGGCTTAGCATTTAGTAAGACAGCTTGCACATAAATGAACAGTGCTTGACCTTGCTGAATCTTAATTCCATTACTTACAAACAAGTTTATAAAAATTATATTAAACTGTATAGTAAACTGTGAATGTAGCATGGGATAAACTAGCAAATGGTAGAGGGGAAAAATTATTGCTGCAAGCAGGAATTAATTAAAAAAAATTCAAACTCTCTTAAAATGTTTTTGAAGGCTTTTTAATGTATATAGTAATATTTGCCTTGTTTCCTAACACACCTGATAAAGTTCCTTCCATAGGGTACTCTTTACACTGATAGAAGTTTCTCTCTATATAAATTTGGAGTGCCCCTTGCCTAAGGAGTCTGTTTAGCTTCTTTACTTCAGTGTGAGTAAGCGGTGAGAGAGAAGGGGAAAACCCATAAACTGCAGGTTAATAAATACAACACAGCACTTAATAAACTATATTTCTGCAGCTGCCATGTGTGTCTCCTAAGAGTGGTCTTAGAAGCCTCAGGCTGGCCTGTTCCTTGCATCTCTGAAATTCTGTTTACTGCCCTTCTTACAGGAGTTTTAAAATCTGTCCTCTATGACACAAAATTTTCACAAGGCTTGAGGGTTGCAGAGGACTCGGTTAACTTCAAAGTTCATCCGTGCTTGAAACAGTCAGATAAATGACAGATTTAAACCTTGATGCAGTGCATTGCCACCTATGACAGCTATCAATATGTACTTCTTTCAGAACAATTACTGTCTTGATGGTCAGCAGGACCACAGGGGAAAGGAGACTTGTGTTTTGCTGGCATCATAGTTCTAGAAATGCCAGAGATGACGTCTGGTGGTAGCATTTAGTTGTATCAAAGATCATCTTCACAACCTAGTGTGAGATTAACAGTCTGAATTTAAAGGAACATTCTCTTGAGTCAGCACTTTGTAGGTTGTAGCTCGCAACACTGTCTGCAAATGACTGACAAAGATCAGACGGGGATGTGTCTCTGTTTCCTTTTGCATTGCATTTAATTTTTACCATTGATAATCGTCATGAATGCACTGAAGCTTGAAACACAACTTGAAGCACAATGATAATGGGATCATCAGTAATGGTAGCTCATGCAAGCACATAAATGTGGGCTTATTTTGCTTGGCAGATGATGAATATATGTCTATTTTGGGAATGTAGGGAGTGTTTTTGAGTAATACAGCATTGGTTTCAGCTGATGAGTTGCAGATCCTTGGTTCATTTTCCCACTAGAATGGGAGTAATTATCTAATTTCATAGTGCCATGTAAATATTTTTCCTGCTTCAGAGCTTTCACCTCATCTGATCCTCTTCACAGCACAAGCTTGTTTAAAGTCCAGAACATGAATTGCCCAACTCTCCACTAGTGCTCCAGTACATTAATTTTTCATAGGGTCACCTCTTCTCACAGATGACATAAAAAAGTTAATTTTAAGGTGTTGGCAGGCTGATGACAGTGTCATATAAATGCTGAATAAGTTCAGAGACTATCAAGGGAACACATGTTTATGATAGACTGCTCTTGTAGCTGTTCCTTAAGTTAACTGATGTAATAGACTTGTCCTTGAACAAGATGCTACTCTGGGGCTTGCATTCACTTTGCTGATTGTTAACTTACCCACACATGGAAAGGAAAGATGCCACAGGAAGATGCATTTGCTTGCCTCTGTCCAATGGTGGATAGCATTTGGTTCAAGTCAAAAAAGTTGCCTCCTTCCTCCCCCACTGTAGGTGGAGGAGAGCTGCTGCATACTTGAAGTTCACAGAACTCTGTCTTTCTGACAAAGCACTCAGTTGCTTAGGTGGGCACTTCCTGTCGCTGCACTTGTCCTGTGTGTTTGTCTTGAGAGAGGGAGAGCTTTGTTATTTGAAATTAATATATCACAGGTTTGGGTTTTTTATATATATATATAGGTTTGTTCCCTTACATGTCTAAAGAACCCACTGGTGGTTTACAGTAGGTGCTGTCAATTCTACTCTAAAACAACATTGTAAATGGCTCCATACTGCAATAACTACATTTAGATGTATTAGCTACAGACAACCTTTCTGATTTGGGCCACTCATCCTACTCAGTATTTGCAACCAGGAGTATTCTTTTATGTCTATCAGCAGTCCTGGGTCCCAGTGATAAATACAGACTAACAACTTAGTGTTTCTGCAGAGCAACAAGAGATTAGTCCCATTTTTTCCCAAGAGCTCTGAAACATACAATCCTTTTGATAATGTTTTTTATACAGTGCTCCTCTTCTGTCCAAACTGCCAATTGAGCATGTGAGTGAAAAGTATGTGCATGCCATTGTTCTTGCTTCCCTCTCCATGAAATTTTATCACACATTGGATTTTATTTTTTTTCTCATGTGCTGGAGGTGCTCTATGTAACCCTGGTTTTCAGCTATTTTTATACTTTTAATTACCTTTCTTTCCTTTGGTTGGTTTAACTTATAGTAGTTGGATCATGCACTGTTGACAAAATCTTTAGCTTCTGGTCTTAAACTTTCTGACTTTAAAGTTTGGAAGCTTGTTTTGCTTTCCCACGTTGATTGCAAAGTCTGAAACAAGCACCCTGACAATGCGTATACATCAGCTGGTAGCTCAAAGGGTGAAATGCCATGGTTACTCCCAAAGTTCAGCTTAACCTAGTGAACCAGAAGTTCTGCCCAGTCACCAGTGTTATCTTAGAGAAAGAGGGTGAAAGGAAAGAAGACTCAAGGATGCATCTGGATTCTGCCAGCAGAGTGTCAGGAAAACATGTTTTCCCTGCCCCAAAGGGAATAACTCTCTACTTCTCTAGTAGGGAGGTTTTATTAATCAGAAGCGCTGGTGTTACTGCTACTTACAAAATAAACTTGAGAACCAGCATTTTGCCTTTGCGGTTTCATCTTTCACATTATATAACAGATAGTTTTGGAAAAGCACCCTAGGGCATCTTCTCCCAGTTTTCTCTGCTCCTCCAAATCTCATTCTTCCCACTCAAGGAGCCTCAAATAGGTTGTTACATATTTCAAGTAGTATGGTTTGTGCAGCAAAGGTATTTCTCTGATTCTCTCCCAGACAAAACTATGTCTCTTCTAAATTGGGACTGTGGTGTGGGTTTTTTTCCTTCTTATTGTTGTTGAGTGTGGGTTTTTGTTTGTTTGTTTTTTTTTAATGAGGAAAATGGCCTCAGGCAGGCTTACCTTGTTCTTCAGAAGACTTTCTATTAAGTGGCTCCCATAGACACAGGCTGAAAACAGAGGCAAAGCAGCAACACATCACTATCTTCTTTTTTTAAGAAACATAACAGCAGCTAATGGCTTGTGTTTATAATTTCTAAGCTGCTAGTGTGATGTCCTTACTGAGCAGGCTTAATGTTGATATTTTTGCCATTAGCATTACAGGAGAGAATGTTTGAAGGTAATGTACTTTTCCTTCATCTGTTAGTTTGTCTATTAAGAGCAGTTCAGTAAAACCTTTACATTTAATCTCTGGGTGGCTGTGAAGGGAGAAGGTGGAAAATTTCATAAAACAACAAACACTGATACAAAAATATACTTAACTGCAGTTTAAAGGTAATTACAGAGCTTCATTTGCTGTAAATTAAGACATCTACTACATCTTAAAGGTTAGGAGATGAAACGGAATGTAAATTTTCTGCCCATAAATTATCTTAACTCATTGGATTGTTTCTTTCTCTTTTCCTAACAGAAATACCCTGTGTCAAGAATAACGTACTGCCCTCAAGGTGGTTACATTGCCGTTCTGTGTGACTGGTAAGAATAACTGGAATAATGGCTAAAATAATCACAGCTCCTGCAAAGACAAGAACAGCTTTCCCTGTTGGCTGTCTTAACTTTCCCCTAGCCTGCAGTAGTTGTTACTGTGGATCTCCAAGTGTCCCAGTCATGCCTGTGGCTTCACAGGGAGCCTTGAAGTCCTTATTGTACTTGGTCTGAGTGCAGAGGTGACTGTGGGGGTTATCTAGCTTAGCTAAGTTTTGCAGACTTTGTGATGCCTTTCCCTTATGGGAGAAAACACAAGGCTAAGATGCCTGAGAGCCCTGCTTGGCACTCAGGATGTCTTCCTAAATTGCTGTGTGCCTGACCCATGTGGTTTGCGTCCCATTTTGTTCAGGGTTCTGTGGTGATGAAGCAGCCAAACTTCTGTTACTGTATTCTGCTCCTGTAAATGGGTTTGGACATTCTGTTTAAAACCACAGCATTGGTTCAGTTTAAAGCTATTGAGAGGGTACGATGGCTTCAAAAGTTGTGGCTGTATAAGAGTGTGATTGGGAGCTGATGGGCCTAAGCACTGAGGAACCAGTCTAGTGTTTCTAAACTGTGCTGTCATGTGGACCTGGTAGGCCACACAGGAGGGAGCCAAAGTGTCCTGCCTGGCACACTAGGGACCTGCTTGAGGGAAGTTAGAAAGCTCTGCAGACACAGGGTGTGGCTGATACAGGAGTGAGTGCTGATGGGAGAGGTGAGATGAGGGCAGTGCAGAAGTCATGTTCTTCAGCCATGTCAAGGTTTCCTGTCCTCATTCCCTCTTCCCCTCCCTGGCATGTAATTCCTTTCCTGTTTTCCTTTGACTGGTGCTCAGCTGTATATTCATTCAAATTAAGCCCTGTAGGCCAGTGTGCTATGATGCAAAATTCCTTATATAAATCCTTAGTAATCCTTAGGAAATTCCCATTACTGCCTTTTCTTTTAAAGATGAGGCAGTGTTGACTGCTTTTTCTTTCATGTAACACTTAAAAAGCCATTTGACATGTTAGGTATTTGCAGTTTCTGCCTCAGATCATGTAAGCAAACTGCACTTGAAGTGCTAGGGAACTTTTTGTAATTCCTAATGACTTTGCTTTGGCTCTGTTTGGAATTAAGCGTGGGTGTTTGTAGTTTGCTGTACAAGTGGTGGCTGTAGGTGGTATTTGGTAATAATGGTAATTAAGTTTTTCCTCTCAAAAGTATTCCCACAGTCTACATCTTTCAGCTTGATGCCAGTGCCCAGCAGCTATTTTACAGGCAGCAAATCTCTTTGAAACATAAAGCATGGGACATTGCATTTGAGGAAACAGGAGATCTATGGATTTTGCAGGAAGAGAGTGAAGCTCCTCTTCAATTGTACAGACCATGTGATGGACAGTGGAAGGTAGGAACTTTTGTTATGCTAACACACTGAATGATTTGTGTTGTCATGAGGCCATAGCAAAAATGGAATGAAAAATGGCACGTTTCTGCATGTCTTGAGACAGAATAGAAGTCATAGATAGTAATCTCATTCTGCTTCTCACCTGGGTATAATGTAAAGCTGCTGAGAGCTTATTATGAATGCCAGTCTCTTCTCTGGTAAAGCTAACATCTGGGATAGCAGGATCAAGCAGAGTGGTTGGCAGCTGTTGCGCTCAGTACTTTAAACAATTCCTGACCTTTCTGTGTGCTATGCTTGATTATTGAAAAAACAAACAAACCACAAACCAACAAAATCCCTTTGTGGTTTGCTCAGGAATGCTTTCCACACAGCCTTCCTGTGCCTGCCTCCGAGGGATCCTTTGGGGGACAAGGCATTCTGGGAGCATTAAGGGTTTTGTGGTTTGGTTTTTTTTTTCATTGAGAACAGGGAGTCAAATTTGAGGAATGTGCTATCAGGGTCTCTCTAATAGCCTATTAAACAACTGGAAACTCACTTGTTATCTTTTTAAGTCCCCAGCTACTTACGGTACAGCTGTGAAGCAGTTTTAAATGAAACTTTTAAGTGTGTTCTTCGACTCTTGTGTGTTCCTCATGATACTCCTTTTCCTGTCAGATTAATAAGGGGAATCCATTTTCTTCTAGCAGAACTTGTGAGCTCATGTTAGGTTTCTATAGCAGTTCTGGGAAAAAGGAGCCTAAAAGAGCTCATGGGGGCTTACACTTGCTCTCCTTTCACTGTGGTCATCCTAGAGCTGTTGCATTTTTCAGTGTGCTGTGAAACATGAGATTGTTTATTATTCCCCAAGTATCATTTAATGTTCCTTCTTTTCCCAGCCTATAACTGATGACAAGGGATTACTGAAGATGTCAAAATATCTTCAAGACAACTGGACAGTGTTTAAAGGTGAGAAATGTGGCCTAAAGGCCTAGGAAACTCAATTTTTACAGCTAAAGCATAAGATTTAGCTGCAAGATCAGAATTTGGGTCAGTTCAGCTGGCTGTTGAAATTGCTTCATCTTCCAGTTTTCTCAGTTCCATCACTCCATCTGGTATGGAATTTAGTACAGCTGATGAAGTATGTTCAAATTGTTGTTACCAGAAAATGATATAGGTATTTAGGTCTGAATTGAAGCATAATAACTGTTTTACATAGATGCCTTATGATAGGAAAGTGTCTTAACGCCCTATGACATGTCTGCTGCAGTCTCATCTTACTGCTCTGATGTCAAAGACTGTTGTTAGTCATCGTGTCTCTTACCTGGGTGTCACACTTTTATCAGAAGTACAGGGCAGATACTAAGAATGGAATAGCCATGGGAGGAGCAGCTTCACGGTAGTAATGGGCCATTCATGTCCACTTTGGCAAGGCAGATGATGTGGAGCTTGCTGTGGCTGGAGGGTGTGACCCTGGCTGGTGTCACAGATTAAATAGATTGGTATCAAGCTTGGTTCATTTTGTTCTTGATTTTTGCCCCACCACCAGACTATGGCACAAAAGTAATACAAAGTTGATTAGTTCAGAAGCACCTTATATTTCCAGGGCTTTTTGTATTTAAAAGCCACCCAACCTGTTTTAGAAGCTGAAATTATGTCAGTGGTGGCTTCTGGGTTGGGAAGGGTTGCAGCATATGCTAGTGGATGTCTCATTATGTATTAAGAGTTGATTAATGGAAATTTCTGTCCTGTACTTTGCTGGGAGACTGGGAACCTTTCTTAAAAAAGTTGTTACAGTTGCCAGTGTTTTTTGGTCTGTTCTTGGTGGCTATATATAAAGATGGAAGAATTATAGGAATGTACAGTTTTAAAGTCTCCTTAATATTTAGTGTTGGGTGGTTTAGGGTGTACCTGTCATTAAGTTGGTCGTTAGGTTCTAATTAAGTTGGTACAGTCTCTGAATTTTAAGAGGAAGTCAGGTAATCCTGTGAAAGGGAGAGTGTTTGCAGGTAGATGTTGCAGACTTGATAGTGACAGCCAGGCTGATAATTAGAAGTATGAGGTCTGGGTGAAAATGAGCAACAAAGAAGTAAAAAGCAGGTAGCAGAAGAGGTTCTGAGCATAATTAGCCAGTGTAGCAAATTACTGTGATACATGGTAGTGAGGTGCAGCTGGGAAAGGATGATTGCTCAGATGACAGAGCCTATTATTGTTAATTAGTAAGGGCAGCCTCACTTGATGAGCACTTAATCCAGTGCATAATTAGTACTTGAAAAGGTAGTTACTTATTTCAAAAAAGGTGATAATCATGTTGTTTTAATGCCTGCATACTGTCCTTTTATAAACTTCTTTCACCTGATTGCTGATTCTGTAGGATGTGAGAGACATAGGTCAATCTTGAAGTTCACATTAGTTTGACATTCAGTTATAATTAATTCCATTAAAAAAATAGAACAAGATTTAGTGCAGACTGATAAAACAGAGAGTAGCATGGATATTCTAACCATTTTTAGAAATATGGACCTAGCCAGCTACTCTTGTTCTATTTTCACTATAGAAGCAACCTGATCGCGTGGTGGGTTTTTTTGGATAGTAGTTAGTTCCTTGTTAAACTTTTCTAAAGATACAGTCTTAGAGATAGTGTGATTAATTGTTTAAGATCTACTTTTTGGGCTGCTTTTATGTTAGTACTTTAGGAGACAAGTCAGCTAAGCACAGTTAGGTAGCATACACCCTTTGCAGTGCTTAGGTCTTGGGGAACAACTGCAATGGGATGTCTTAACAAGAAGTTGTGACTGTAGTTGTTTTAAAAACAGAAGCCTTGAAGTCTGCAAGTGTCCAGCATAAAGAGAGCTGTGTGCCCCCTTCACTTCCAACATCAGGTGTTTGCCTCTGCAAATTTTTTAGCCTAAAAATGGAGGCTGTGCTTGGACGTGTGAATGCTGGACAGGTGCTTCGCAACACAAATCAGGCTTGCACAGTGTAAATTCTGATTTTTAATAAAGTAGATAGGACCACAGTAAATTAATTGGAATGCCACTGTTTAGAATTACAGTAGAGGAGGTAATTGGTGAGACCACTAAGGGAATTAACACTTGTGTTCTTTCTTTGCCCAACTGCAGGTTTTGTTGGCAAAGAGAGCTACTACAACAGTCTCTACAAGGCTTCATTTGATAACATGGCTGCCTACCTACAGAGGAAAGAGGAAAGATTACAGCAACAGAAAAAGAAAAAGCAGGATCTGCAGCAGGGTTCAAATGGACAAACAAAAAAGATGAAGACTGAAGAACCATCCATATGACCCTGTTAGCTTGTAACTTTTGCCTTGCTTAAAGGAACTATTTGTGAGCTGTTTTTAAATATAAAATAGATTATGGAAGAAGACAGGTTTGAACTTTTATTCAGATTCAGGTTTTCAGGTATCCTGATTTGACAATATCCTGCTTGCAGCAGATAATGCATTTACAATATGCCTAAGCTTCTAGCAGCATAGTGTTAGTGCTTCAGTCCCAGGAATCTCTCATGCATGATATATGAATATTGGATGTGATATTTTCCTTGAAACAGGATTTTCTTTTGGCCTACTGTGTTCAGGCTTTCTTCTTCAGGTGGAAGTACACTGATAAAAGTTGATGTGATTTTTTTTTTTTTTCCCCCTGGTTTGGTTTTTGTTGGTTTTTTTTTTTTTTTCCCCCTGGTTTGGTTTTTGTTGGTTTTTTTTTTTTTTTCCCCCTGGTTTGGTTTTTGTTGGTTTTTTTTTTTTTTTCCCCCTGGTTTGGTTTTTGTTGGTTTTTTTTTTTTTTTCCCCCTGGTTTGGTTTTTGTTGGTTTTTTTTTTTTTTTCCCCCTGGTTTGGTTTTTGTTGGTTTTTTTTTTTTTTTCCCCCTGGTTTGGTTTTTGTTGGTTTTTTTTTTTTTTTCCCCCTGGTTTGGTTTTTGTTGGTTTTTTTTTTTTTTTCCCCCTGGTTTGGTTTTTGTTGGTTTTTTTTTTTTTTTCCCCCTGGTTTGGTTTTTGTTGGTTTTTTTTTTTTTTTCCCCCTGGTTTGGTTTGTGTTGGGTGTTTTTGTTTTGTTTTGAACTTTTTGAAAGGTCCATTACTTAAGGCAACCAACTTAATGTACCTGGCTATGAAAAAGGGAATGTAGCAAAATTCTTCCTCTGTATGAATGGTTTTAGCTGAGACTTCACCATCTCTGTTTTCACCCTTTACCTTCAGTTTATATAGTAGGGATTCTGCCAAGCTTCTAACCTGCTGCTTCTTACTTGTGGCATAAATAAGAAGTGCAAAAATAGATTTTTTTACACTGTAAAGTAAAAGTAAAATGTGTCAGTCAATGTTATTGGAAGATCCTTCTATTGCAATACAATCCTAGTGTGTCAGTGAGGATGGCTGATGAAGCTTATGAGCAAATCTTGGGGTGCATTCTGCTGTTTTCAGCAAGAACTCTTACAAGTTGCAATTAGCCAAGAAATACATATTTTTGAGGAGTTATCAGTAAGAGCTTTATGGGATCACGTGTTGCTTCATTGTGGGAAAAGACATACACATTCATCTACCAGATGGCATTATGTCTATATGGAAGATAATGTACTTCATAAAAACCAGGTGTAGAAATCTGTACAATCCATCAAAAGTATTCAGAATTAGCCTATGAGCCATTAATAGTTCTCTAGATCTCTTTATATAGTGGTCCTCTCAGGAGTACCTGGACACATAAAAAATTTTGCACTCATTTTAATTACACTAGTGTGTAATTGTACATTGTTGAGATGTAGCTTATTTTATGAATATCAGGTACTTAGCAGTGAAGCAGAACTTGCTGCTTATGTCTGGGCAAAATTGCAGTCTTGTCCTTATTGTGCAATTGTGCATCCCAGAGGACATGAGTCTTTCTTATGCTGTAGGATGTCACATTTATTTTCATACTCCTTCTGTTTGGAAGTGCCTCCTTAAGGATAGGGCACTGTGTGCAGTAGTACAGAGCCAGTCCTTCATCTCCAGAGTCATTTCTCTTGGTGATTCCTTTTAAATAAAGAACCTTCTACTTTGGCAAAGGTCAAGAGTGGTATTGTCTCAATTCTGGCAGGATCTGCCTTGGCACAAATGAAATGTGAATTAGTTTCTAGTACATATACAGTTACTTGACAAAAGAATACAGTGTCACATCCACAAAGATTATGATATAGTGTAGCAATTCACCCTCCTCTGTCCAGTATCCACATACCAGGGATCTGTAGCATCTTTGGGTATCATTAAATCAGTTGAGTTCTCCTGGATTGTTCTGGGTCTTGGACAAAGGAGAAGGTGGTAGGTGGGTATGTTTGGGCTTGATGAGGACATTACATGATCTGGAGCGAACACCTTTGAGCTGATGTGTTTGTCTGTCTTTAAAGAGAGTGCCTGAACCATCAGGTTGGCCTGGTGGAGTGGCTAACTGGCTCTCATGGCAAAGAGCTGGCCAGGTTTGGAGACGCCTCCTCCTCGGAAGTTACTGCCTGAGTATGCAGGTGCCTCACAGCTCTTGTGCTATGTGGAGCCCTTGCTGTTTCCTAGAAGTTGGCTTGAATGTTTTCTTGATTTATACTGTAGATTAGTGAGGATCATGTTCTCATTCACGCGTTGCCCTCCTTGCTCAGCGAAGGCGTTGTTTGTCCTTAGCTGGGCTGTATTAGAATTAATGATTTCTGCAGTGCATCATTGTATACGCATGCATGTGTGATGTCATAAACGGAGCAAATGCTTTCTTATATTTAGGTTGGGAATGTGGTGAAAGGCTTAAACTTCAAGCTGAAATACAGATGTGAGGCCCAGCTGCTTGGTTTGCTGACAGTTTGTAGCCTCTGCTTCTCTTGTGGAAGATGTTGAATGTCAGTAATGGACCTCAACAACAGGTAGGCCAATTCCCTAGGAGTTTGCCTACATCCCATGCTGACAAGAAGCTGGGATTATGAAACTCTGTAATTTCAGTCTTCTGAAGGACAGTTACATCTGTGAGGTTAAAACCTTTAATTGGATCTGTAACAGTAAATACATTGGTATGACACCAGGGATGTATATTTTTCTTGGTCTTTAAGAAAGGATGAGAAATTGCCATCAGAAATGCTTCTTATTACAGGTAGGAATGGTGACTTGGAGACTGAGATACCTGCCGTATTACAGTGGCTATTAAAACTTTTTAGTTCTTGTCGTAATCTAATTTAAAAGGGGACTCTTGGGAAGTTAGTTGGGGAAGCAATTAAGAAAACTTCAGCCCCAGGGTGTAACTTTGTGAGTGTTCAGGTGAGGAGATGGGTTGTGCACAGATTCAATAGTGCGATCTTACCAGAAATGAGCCAGTACTCAGCTTGCTTGAGAACTGAACAGGATGGAAAAAGAACCAAATATTTTTTTTGGTAGCTGTTGGTGAAGAAGTGATTCTCTTCCAAGCATGAAGCCTGCTGATACAGGGCAAACTGCAACAGGAGTCTGTATTGGATCACTTCTGCATGTCACAAGGTAATACTGGTTTTGAAATGGTGGTGTGAGCTAAAGGCTGTGGGGTGCACTTGTGGTCCTTACTCTGCCTGCTGTCTTGGAAGAAAAGCAAAAATTCTTCCAATGCTTGAACTTACCACAGATGGTGGTGTGTGAGAGTGACATGTGTTATATGGCAGATTATTTGGGCCATTTTGTTTTTCTGGTTTGGTTTGGGTTTTGTTTTATTTTGTGTGTGTGTGTGGTTTGTTGTTGTTGTTTTAATTTGTTTTCTTTCAAGTTTTTCTTTCCTATTCCATTTTCTATTTTGTTTTCTGCATGCAACAGTTCCTGAGCTTAAGTTGTGAGGCTGTACATGTCAGTGGACCACTTTGAAGGGGTCTATGAGAAGTTATCAGAGAAAGGAAACTTGTTGAAAGTTCTAATCCACTGTAGTGTGTCTGCACCTTGAATAGAAAATTGTTAGGCACCCACAAGTCATTAAACAGGAGTTAATGCCACTGTTGCAGAGTGAGACAACACTCCTCTCCCTGGTATTTAAACTATTTATTTCTAATGGCTAAACCTGATGTCACTTGCTTGTGTTTATTTTCTGAACTTGAACCAAAGCATGTTATATATATATATATATGTCTAGCAAAAAGGGGATGGGTCAGCTTGGGTGTAGTTTTATAGCAGAACTGGTAACTCTCAAACCATTCAGAGGGGTATTTATAGGCCGTAGAAGTTCACCCCACACTGAACTATAGACTTTTTTGTGGTGATTGTGCAACTCCCTTGCCTCTCTCCTGAGCGCTGACAACCCACAGAGCCTTTAAAAATTCATGTAAGGAAGAAGTTGAAGCAATACTGAGTTTCTTTTCCTCAGTATTTTAAACCAAAACACGTGCAAATGAGAAAAAAACAGGCTGGATGTGATTTGTCAATAGTTGTAGATGCAGAGGCTGGAAAAAACATGACTAGAGAATTGAATGACTGTATGGGTCAAGAGATCTCCATTTCCAGTGTGTTCGTTTAAGTTACTGTGCACCTCTGAATACCAAGGGCCTGGAAATTCCTTCAAGAACTAGAAGTGCTCTTCCACTCCTGAACTAGGTGATTGCTTGACATCAGCACCTTTTTACCCCTTGACTTTTCCTCAGTCCTGTCAAAGTCAGAGTAGAAATTCTGTTGGAAAAAACCTCTTAGGGACTAAAATGACTCCTGGAAGGCAAAGGAGCAGCTAAGAAATAAACCAAAGGCTGCAAGGAGATAAAATGTCTTTGCAGAAGGCAGGGACCTGCAAGTGGAGGCTGTGGCAGAGGGCACATGTCTGCACGTGCAGGCAGTGAGCTCTTGCAGGTTGCTGCCAACTAACCTGGCCCAGGGCTGCTTTGAGCAAAGCAGCAGGGTGCAGAGCACAACCCAGCAGCAGCTCGTAGTTGCACTTATCTGCACCCCAACCACTCAAAACAAGAATGCTCAGGCTTTTTGCTCTGCACTATAACTGGTTGTGGCTTCACTTTTCTCCCCAGCATCATCCTTCACTTCAGGCTAAGTCATCCACCAAAGCAGGGGCTAGTTCTTCTTCTGGACACCTTCGAGCACAAGATAGATTTTGGTGCTGAGGTCCCCAGGCAGCAGTATTGCAGCTTGTGACCAGTGCTGGGGACACTGTGCCCAGCACGTGGGCAAATGCACCTCAGCACCAATGGTGACTGCACAGGTCTCATGTAGCGTGTGTTGCTCAGCAGGCCTGTGGTGTAATAGCACTGCATCCTGCAGGGATTAGCAGCTAAAATCTGTCAGATCTCAACTCCAAATTTAACTACACTGGCTATGGGTGCCT